TCCGGGACACGAATCATGGTCAGCCATGTGGGAGTCCAGCCACCTTAACTACCACACCATCTGCTGGCCCCAGAAAATCTTTTTAAAAGCAATGAAATACTTTAGGAAAGTGGGAATAAAAACAGGAATAAAACAGACCACATCAGGTGGTTTCCAATTTTGCTATGGTTTTGTTCTCTGAGAATCCAGGGCTTTGATTAGAATGGGGACACAGGAACTGTGACAGGTTCTTCTTTGGGGACAAAAGCAAACTTGAAAATCTGCTTCAGCCACATGTAGGTTCACATGGCTACCATTTGTCTCTAACGCCATCTGTGTGCGCTGTTCTCTGGGCTCTGTCCATATTCAGCATTCTACGGGTTTTAAAATTCTCCCTTTTATTATTATTTTTATTTTGACTACAGCAGCCCTCCTAATGCCACTCTACCCCTTACCTCTAATAAACCAACAGAACTATAGAAAACATATACATATTTTAATAACCAGAATATTGATTTAAAAAAGAAAATGCTGTCTGCATTATGTCATTGCAGAAAGCACACAAGAGCAGAACAATAATGTCACATTGTCTGACATTTGTCCACGCAGGTGTCTATGAAAAGTCTTCAAAGTTTAGGGGCGTGGTGGTCGGTGTGGTGGTTAAGGGGGCTGGACTCCCACATGGCTGACTGGGGTTCAAGTCCTGGACTTGGAGGCTTGCTTTCTCACTTTCCCTTTCTCTCGTTCTCCCCCTCTGGTCAAATTAAAATAAGTAAATAAAGTTAAAATAAAATAATTATTTTGAAAAAGTTCATGGAAAATGCATGTTATGAAAAAACTGTGCATAGATTTCAAAATGTTGTGCACCCAGATAAATTTGTACTTTCTAGTTTTGCCAAGGGGTATGTGTGCTTGCCAGAGGGAGAAAGCACCCCCGGACGGGGCATGGTCATGCTGCAACCCCTTCTCCTCTATTTTTCATCCTGCTGGGATTTGGGACATGTGTGCACACATGCCTGATGTGTTTAAGCTACGGGAACCAGGATTTAAATAGCCTGGTCGGCCACATGAGATCAGGCTTTGTTAACCAACAGGACATGGGACTGGCTCTCAATTTGTAGTTTAAATTTTCCACGAACTTTTTGAAGTCTCTTTATATTTCTCTGTCCACTCAATCTTGCAGGCAAAAAAAGATTCTAGACAACCCTTGATTAAAACCTACGCTAATATGGAAATGACTACAAGTGTTGGCAACATATTTCAAAATCACACTTGAGTACTTTTATATGTCTGTAAAAACTTTTCATGTTCCATTAGCACTTTTAAACCCATTTAAAGGCCTTACAAGTGTTCAGGACTATTTAGAAACAGTCTCCTTGCTCTCGGCAGAATAAAGGAATTATAAAGTGATGAATGAGGAAAGTCTGCAGAAAGGATTTACAATATATCCTGTAAACAAGATGCAATTGGCCGTGTGTGTTCTCTGAAAACCACTTTGCCTCTGTGGCTAATCCATACAAGTAAACCGTCATCCAGGAGGCTGGCTAGAACAACTATACATAAAGAGAAAGTGGGATAAGAGCCTTGAAAAGAAGAAAATTGTCTCTGCGTAAAGGAGAGGGAAAGGGGACTGGAATTAGTTCCCTGGATTCAGTGTCGGCCATAGGCATAGTCCATAGTAAGGCGTGTTTCAGCGTCATATAGATTACCCTTTTCCATATGCACTGTCTCATTTGATTCTAATGAACACTTGATAAATACCATTATATTCATATTGCACGTGGAGGAGATTAGGCATTGTTAGGGGACAAGCATGCTCCAGAATGTGACCAGTCCAGAATCACACAACCAGGAAGCACAGAAGTGGAGGGAGGATTCTGAACCGAACGACTTTCTTAGTATTCTTTATCCTCTGCCTCCTGCGTCAGCTGGAAACTTGAAGTTAGTATTCTTTAAAAGTGCCAGGGGTCTGGGTGGGCCTTAGCTGAGCAAAGGAGTAATGGGAAAATGGAACTAAGAAGAGATCAGGTTCTCCATGCTGGGCCCTGACCATCAGTGTCAGAACTCAGTAATATTGCTAGCCCTGAGCAGGTGCACCTGCCAGCTAGCCTGTGGGTGTCCTGGGCTCTGGTCACTCTCCAGACTTGCATATACTCTCTTTTTTTTTTCTCCTGACAGTTGACCTCAGAGGGCCTCTCTCTCTCTCTCTCTCTCTTCCCCCTCCTCTTTTCTTTCATTTTTGTAAAAAAAATGATTATTATTAATTTTTTATTGCCAGAAACTTCATGCACTTACTTGTCAGAGAGAGAGTAAAAAGAGAGGTAAAAATTACACCCTAATGGATGGGATACGGTCACGCCCCAGTCCTCCTATTTCTCCATCCCATCAGGGTTTTGGACACACAGGCTAGAGATACCTGTTGTGGTTTTTAAGTGCTGGGCTGGGATTCGAACCTTGGCCAGCCGTCTGAGATCCGGCTCCTTTAACCACTGAGTTACAGGGTCTGGTCTCTTTCATTCTAACTAACATGTTTATGGGGTACATCATAAATTTTTTATGCATGCATATATTGTATAATGATCAAATCAGGGAAATTAGCATATTCTTGACCTTGAGCAGGTGTCTTGATAGCTGGAGGCCCCGGGTGTACCAGGCTCCCCGTGAAGTATTTCTGTCTCCAGACCTTTAGGGCAGAGCAGAAGAGTAAGAGAGATCACTAGGTCTGTTTGTTACCATTGATCATGTGCTATTTTCTTTGCTACCTGTTCTTACTTTTGAGAACAATTAGACACGTTATGCACTCTGGGCTATGCTTTTACCTTTCTTCCTTACTATTTTTCTCATCCTAGAATTATACTGGCTTTAGACTTTTGGCACGTCACTTGGCTTATCTGAAGCCATCTGGTATAACTCACAGGTGCACATGGAAGTGTTTCTGACTGAACAGGCTTCTTTGCGTTTCACTGGCTTTCTTTTGAAGAATTTTAAATGCTTTTTGTTTTATAGTATCTCCTGCTTTTTCTTCCTAGAGTCGGAAACATGCGAGCAAAGTCCGACTGTATTACATGCTTCATCCCAGGGACGGCGGGTGTCCTGCCAAGAGACTTCGGTCAGAAAACGTGAGTATCTGCTACCGGGTGATAGCCTCGGACCGTGTGTTCTGTCTGCTAAGGACTTTGCAGGTGTAGGAATTCTAGTCCTGTCCGGATTACTAGAAAAGCTGAATGGAAACAGCTTTCTTCAAATACAACAGAAATGATTACATGCTAGCAAGTCGTTTTTTGTTTGTTTTTTCTTCTTTTCTCCCAGAACAAGCTGGTATGGTGTTGGAGGACTTTTTAATGATCTTGCTTTGGAGCCATGTAGAGGGAATGTACAAAGGGGGCTGGGGAAGGTGCAACAGGGCCTCCGGAAGACAGAGGACTGGGAAGACACAACCTTAGGGGCAAACCTGTCAGAAATATTAGCTACTTCGCTTTTCACATCTTTTGTTTTTTCCCCTGCTATGCAAGATGGAGTGCCTGCTTGTTAATTTATAATGAAACATGTGTGTATCTTGCAAATAAAAACACTCAAGCCTTTTGATCATGGCCCCTTCTCCCAGAGGGAGCATTTACTTGGGAAGACACTGACAATTATCAAATTGCCTTGAGCCTGTAAATCAGCCCGAAGGGTTGAATTCAGTCAGGCCAAGGCAAAGACTGATGAAATAAGTATGCCTTCCCCCAGCAGGGGCTGCTCTTCCTAATGAGTGGAATATTCACTCCCACTCCCACAGAGGCCCTTCTCAGTAGACACTGCAGGTTCATTGCGGAAGTCCCTGCCCTCTGAGTGAGGAGGAGGTTGCAGACAGAATTTAGACCCCATGCCTTCCATGGCGCTTGCGATCTTGTTTCCTTTCTGCTGCCATGCAGACGTTGATCTTTTCTAATTAAAAATTAATGGGTGATCATTGAGGAAACACTGCAAAATCTGACCTGAGGTGTTTTTTTTTTTTTTTTTTTGAGAGGTTTTTGCTATAGGGCACGTGTGCTTGCCAGAAAGACAGAGAGAGACAGAGAGACAGAAAGCTAGAAATCACACCCCAGGGGTGATGACCATACTGCAATTCCTTCTCCATTCTTGGGATTTTGGGCACACACGTACACGTGCCCGACTTGAGTTTAAGCCACTGGGTCTGGGACTTGAACCGTGGTCGACTACATTGGAGTTCAGCAACATAGCCATTACACCAACCTCTGGTCCCACCTGAGGTATTTGTCACAGGAGATAAGAGAGGGCAAGGGAGGCGAATGTGACCAGAGGTGTCCACATCAGGGCTGGTGTGGGTCATGAATCCCAAGCACGCCTCTTAGCATCACAAACGAGGCTGTAGTAGACAGACTACTTGGGCAGTGGTAGAGCTGTCCTTTCTGCCTTATGAGGCAGCATTTAGAACTCTTTGGAGGCAAAAGGATCATGAGACCGTAACACGCTGTTCAGAGCCGGAACTGAAGTCTGGTTCTGTCAGTTCCTAGCTTTAGGACCTTGGGCACATAATTGATCTCTTAGCATTTTAGTTTTCTGGGTCAAGCTATGATACTCCTACTTGCCTGCCCAGGTTGTTGAGAATATTGAATGAAATGATAACCATGAAGCACCATGACATGCTGGGCACTGAGCAGACAGAGATAAATAAGACACAGACTTGCCTTAAAGAAACTCTAGTATAGGGCAAGAAATGAACATTGTATTAGAAATCACTGTTATAGTGCAATATGTTTATTAACATTCTGCACAAAGAACCATGGGGACAAAAGGCAAGGGAGCCATGCCAAGGGGTTCTGCTCAGGGACGGTGTTACTGAGCAACCAGCATTCTGTGCTTGGACTTGAGTGGATTTTACCAGGTGGAGCCTATAGGAGTGAGGATGGAAGATACCACTTTCTTAGGTGCATTTTTATTTTTTAAAAAATCTTATGAAGCTATGGGACAGTTGCCTAAACAGTCTGGCTTGTTTTTATAATCTGAGAATCCTTTAGCTATGCTGAAATCACCCTTTCCATTAGATGGGTATTAGGACAAAGATCAGAATTCATTCTCCCGCCCTTGAAATGGTCCAAGCATGGTGTTTGGATCCTTCTTTCACTCGCTGTCTTTATCTCATGGTCAGAAACAGTGGGGTTCAAGGCCACTTGACAATGAGCAATGTGGATGCAGAGGACTTTCAGACCCCTTGCGTTCTAGTTGTAGATGTCACACTCACACCCGAGCTTCTGGGGAGAGCTTGAAACGGCCAACAGAGGGTTGTCTTTGGCCAACACTGGGGCTATCTTTGTAGAGACTTTACAACATGGTCCTTGCTGCTCTCATGATGCAATTCAGCCCTCCGAGACCCCTGTCCTCCCGGGACTGTGGGGATGATTTATGGAAGGAAAGGTATTTGTATTTTGGAATAAGAAGCATTTACATGCATTTTCTGGCAGAGATGACTTCAAAAACTTTTTTTCTTCTGTTGTAACCTGGATTTTGAAAACTCTGATCTATCAATGATTTATTAAGTCATCCTTCTATAACTTATGAATCAAAATATAAAAACAAATCAGTTTTTACAAAAATCCACAAAATAATCTTAATTTTGAGGGGCCAGTTGATGTTTGTGTGACACTGTGTGGACATGTCATAGGCGAGTATACCATTTCCATTGTGCATTTTGGTATATTGATTCAGCGTGGAAGCTGCCCCTAGTCTCTCTCACTGGGTCTGAGTGTGTATTGGTGATCACTTGGACCATCTTTCTTCTGTACAGACTCCTACCTAAGGACTGAAAGACTGGATGTGCAGATGGACAATCTCTAGACCATATATAAAAAGAGAATTCCGAGCTGAGACTTGCAGCAACCTGTCCAGGAGGGCGGCCTGCCATGTTAGACTTGTAGGGTGTTAGGCTGCTGTCTCTAGCAACAACCCAGGAAGCCATACAAAATCCCTTCACAACAGAGCCCAAATGACCAGCACGTCATTTATTGCTATCCATTTCCCTGATTTTGCTCTCTGCTTCCAACTTAGAAGCAAGCAGAAAGCCAGCATGCCCCCTAAGTAATCACAGAGGACACCCTGCCTCGAGTTTGCTCACCTACAGCTTCCACAGGCCCGTAGATGCTCACCAGGGTCCACCTGAATCCCTCTGTTTTCTACTCTAAAGTTCCTGCTCCTCTGCCTCCCTCTGAGTCCTCTCCCTCTGTGCATGATGGTGGCCGACTCCCTTGCTATAACGAGCTCTGAGTAGTGCCCTTTGCTTGTCCTCATTTGGTTGGTCTTTGTTTATTTTCACCTAGTCATAAAAATGGGGATGTAAGAACAGCTAATGTCCAGGTTTATCATGGGATCTAACTGAGATAACCAGTTTCTCTTCGCTTAGCACTTTATTTTTCTAGGCACTTAGTGCATGCATTATTGTTCCTCATACTGTCTTCACTAGTCCCACGTGTTTCAGAAGGTCACAGCACCTTCTCTTCTCTGTTCCTCACCCTTCTCAAGCTCCCAGGGGCTGTGATTGGCATCCAGTGTTACCTGGTTAAGAAGTGCTTTCATGTCTGTCCCGAGTACCCAACAAAGTGAGTGAAGACAGAAAACGTGGCCCTGATTTTCCACGTGCTTCTGGCGCCCAGTCCCAGTTACGGTAACTTAGATGTAGGAACACGTGAGGACGAGCTCCTGGTATTTGTCTGGAAGTCTGTTACCATTTCTTCTTCAGTTACTTGTCCTTCTTTATCGTCGTTACTGTTTTCGTAAAAACTCGAACTCATTGCTAGCCCCTACTTTACCACTTCTAGCTTTTTAAACCCTTACTCACAGCTTTTACTCTTTGGAATCTTTGCTCGGATCTCCTGAGTGTTTTTGGTTATGCATTTTTTTTTTCTTTGAAATTTCAGAGCAAGACATTTCCCCCTTGAGGCTGCAGTATAAAATGACTAGGTCATCAGAAAAGTAATGATGTGTTTTTCTGTGAAAAAATGCATGATGACTTTTCCAGCGACCCAATAAATCTGAAATAAGTTGTTATAGTTGATTGACTTAGAGAAATTTTCAGTAATCTCTTGAGCGTTAGAGCCAAACAGATCATTGGGTCCATCGAGTCTTCATTTGTCACCAATGGCCACTTTATTATCTTCTTACCCAGGGATCCCGTTTTTTGAAAGGAAAATGATCTATTTGGGGAACACCACTTTTAAGTAAAAAGGTGACCTAATTTTGCTTTATTTGTTGTTGTTCTCTGATTCTGGAAAGCGATGGGTAACTGTTCACCTAAACTACCAGTCAACATTAAATAGCGTTTTTCCGCGGAGTTAATACAATTCCCTCTACAAGTGGGAAGAGTTGACCATCTGGCATGTGTAATCAGGGCTGTCACTCCTGATCGTCATATGCTTTCCCTGAGCTCGGTGGTTTTAGGTCGTCAGGAAAGTTGTGACATGCTTTTCTATGCCTTTCAATTGAGAAATTGTGTATACACACACACATGCACACACACATATATATATATATATTTACTATTCTCCAATAGATTATCAGAAATACACCACGACTTTCCTGACGACCCAATATGTGGGACAGAGCCTCACTTTGATAGGTACCCTGACATCCTGGAATACAGGCAGGAGGAGATCAGTCTCCTCTAAACGCTTCTAATGACAAAGGTGCAGATAAGGCCATGGAAGTACCATCACTTGCACACATTGTTGAGGCCTGAGATGAAAACCGATGCCCACCCCACACCTCAGCAGGCCCTGGACCATGGCTCTGGTCATACCCATGTCTTCAGGGAGGTCCTAGAGGTGAACCCTGAACCTTCCCATGTGGATCAGCCTCCCAGAGTGTTCCATTTTATCAGTGCCTGCTTATCCAAATGACCTCTTATCACATCTTCAAAGACCCTGTCTCCAAATGCATTTGCACATCCTAAATTAGATGCGGTTTAGGCAGAGGGCGTTACTCAGTACAGTGGCAGAAAGTAAAGTGGCAGCCAAAATGCCGAACTGGCTTTTTAATTCAGGGGCTAATTTAATGCAATTATAATGATTGTAAAGAGGTTCTCTCTCTTTCTGTGTGTGTGTGCATGTGTGTGTGTGTATACACA